CTGCTCCCGGCCACCGCAGCCTCACCTGCTGGGCTCCGGCGATCCTTCCGCCTCAGCCTTCCGAGTAGCCAGAATTACAAGCGTGCTACCATGCCCGGCTAATTTTTCTATTTTATTGTAGAGATGAGATCTCGAACCCGCGGGCTCAGGCAATCCACTCACCTCAGCCTTCCAAAGGTGCGGGATTACAGGCTGAGCCACTGAGCCTGGCTTAGTCTCGTTTTATTGCTGGAATTGGAAGCCTTTTCTCAAGCCTTTGTAAGGAGCTCTTCTTTATCCAGGCAGGAAGATACACACAGTTGGGAGCCCTGAGATGTTGATTTAGTGGACAGAGGGACGAATGCTGGGGAATCTGGCACGTGTTCGTCTGTTTTCTTTTTGAAGTGGACTACAAGGTGGTCTACAAGAGGAAGAGGCTTTGTAGGCAGAGAGGTGCTTCAGGAGAGCACCTGTGGGGGACTGACAAGGCACCTGGCTCTCCATGAGGCTGGAAACCACATGTCGGTACCAGTTTCAACTGATGATTAACTAATGTTCTTGGGCTGGGCGCCGTGGCTCATGCCTGTAATTCCAATACTTTGGGAGTCTGAGCCTGGAGGATTGCCTGAGCCCAGGATTTCGAAACCAGCCATAGTGAGACTCTGTCTCTACCAAAAAAAATTAGTGGAGTGTGGTGGCCTGTCTCTTGTCCCAGCTGCTCAGGAGGCTGAGTTGAGAGGAGCAGAGCACTTGAGCCCAGGATTTTGAGCCCAGGATAGTGAGCTGTAATTATGGCACTGCACGTGCACTCCAGACAGGATGACAGTGATACCATGTCTTAAAAAAAAAAAAAAAAAAAAGGTAGGGACGGTGGCTCATGCCTAATCAAAAAATTAGCCAGGCATGGTGACTGAGCAGCAGAGTGAGACTCTGACTCAAAAAATAAATACAAGCCGGGTTCAGTGGCCCAGCCTGTAATCCCGCACTTTGGGAGGCCGAGGTGAGTGAATTGCCTGAGCCCGCAGGTTCGAGACCCGCCTCGGCAATTTGGCAAGACCTCGTCTCTACAATAAATAAACAAATCAG